TTTCAGCATGTTCTTGTAGTTGCTTTAATTATCAAGGAAGTCAGGCATAAATACAGACAGGGCTGAGCTGGAGAGACTCCCAGTAACACAGACACAAGACTCACTGCTGTCAAGTCGGAACCACCCACAGCTGACCCTCCAAGCAGCTTTTCAGAGACTGTAAATCAAACCAGAGGAAATTGCCCTGCTTTCTCCCTAAGAGCAGCTGGTGGATTCTAACTGCCAGTCTTCGGGTTGGAAACACAACTCTCTACCCAATAGGCCACCAGCACTTCCTGAATAACACATGCCAGGTTGAATTTAGAATTGCTTCCCTCATAACAAAAGCATTGTAATAAGCACAAAGCAGTAACTCCTGATGTTTCTTCCCAGAGGATAAGCTCTCTCCCCAGAGGAGAAGAGGCCCCTGGTTAATACCCTACCAAAATGCAAACTTAACTTCACAGTGATGAACATACCAAGTTAGTGGTGTCTGAGGAGGACTGGGGGACCCCATTTACTTTCTTTCTCAGGAAACTTCTGGCCCTCATAACTAAGGGAACGTGTCTTATGTGAAACCCAACCCTGAAATAATGGAAAACCTTATAACAGCAATTAAAGAACTATAACCTCTTGTGTTAGGATAGACCTCTCCTCCTTATTTTACGTATAATTAGCATGCAAAGCATCAATCATTTGCAAAAGCGAGAACTTAAGATAAACTTATATAAACAAAATTGACCTTGTTTTGGCTTCAAAACACTGAGACAATATTTTTATAGGGTCCAATGCCGTATTTGTGCTTCAATGCCTCCTTAAATAAACTTTCTTAAGACCGCTCACTCGTGTTGTTCTGGGTGAGCCCGGATCTGCTCATGATGGACAAAGCCTTCAGAGACACAGTGGTGCACAGCCCAGCCTATCTGATTTAGGGTTAGAGCACAGGTGGGCAGGTGCAAAGAGCTGCACAGAAGAAAATATTGCAATTGAAAATTGCCCTGGACTATTAATCAGTGGTTCACTGCAAAATGAGCCCTAAATGCTGTCCCGTAGGGTGTCCTGACCAGGCTGCCCACTTTGCCACCTTCTTAAGAAACACTTGATCTGAGCTTTCTCCTTAATTAGGAAAAGACAGCCCCCTGTAGCTACACAGAACCAATCCATTTCTTTGGGGTTAGGAGAGTGCAATTACTTTTTAAAAAAAGAACTACTGTTGCTGTTTTTGTCTTCAAAATGAGAGTAGCTTTGATAGGTTTTTTCCTGGTTGTAAAGTTATTCACATTAGTTGTCTTAAAACAAGAAGTGAGAAGAGCTAAAATGACAAAGAATACATTTCCAATCAGGTCACTGCTGGCAAGGTTGATCTTTCACAAATTTGATTTTAAAAAGTTCTTCTAAAACTGTAAGCTCATGCTGTTGTTGTTGTTATGTGCTGTCGAGTCGCTTGCGACTCATAGCGACCCTATGTACAACAACCCTAAACTCCGCTCTGTCCTGTGCCAATCGCACTGTCTCTGACACTCCCATCCCGATTATCCCAGTCACTGAATCAATCCAAGCTCATGCTACATAATGAAAATATGTCTTTTCCAATGTGTGATTTTTTTTCTAAATATACTATTGTTAGAACGGTTACTATTATTATTATTGCATTATCTTGTTGTTGTTGTTGTTAGGTGCCATCAAAAGGGATAAAAAAATGTGGACCTAAAACAGTGTAGAAGCTAGACATATGTAGGAGCTCGGATAGCATAACCCACCTGGGAATTGTGTTGTTAACTCAAAAATCACACTTCTTTGTCAACTGGAATCCAAAGGAGAAAGATGGGCAATTTCCGCCAATGTAAGTTGTTCGCCGATACATGTCCCCAAGTCAGGAAGAACACGTGTGTCTGGCCCTCTATTGAGTTTTCAGAGGCTATAAATCTCACAGGAGGAGAGTGCCCATCCTTCCATGGAGCAGATGGTGGATTTGAATCACTTACCTTTAGGTTAATATCCTAACTCTTTACCAGTAGTGAGTCACCAGAGCTTCCTCCTGTGCGATTTACAGCCTCTCAAAACTCCACTGAAGAGTCAGCTATGAGCTGATTCCAACTCAAAGGTAATGAGTATGCATTTTACGGGAGTTCTGGCAGCGTAGTTGTAAGAAGCTGCACTGCAATCCCCAAGGTATATAGTTCAAATTCCCCTAGCTGCTCAATGGGAAAAAGATGAGCAATCTCCTTCCACACAATTAATTAACTGCCTCTGAAAACCTGGTATAGTGTCAGCTATGAATCGGTTCTGACTCAACAGCACAGAACAACAACAAAAACAAAGCAGCGTCAAGTATGAAATGCCCCTACAGGACATGTTATCAACAGGAACTAGTACCTGGAGGAGGAGATCATGCTTGGTAAAGAAGAGGGTCAATGAAAAAGAGGAAAGTCAGGGAATGTGGACTGATCGCACATTCACAACAGTGGGCTCCAACACAGCACTGGCTCTGAGAAAGGCACAGGACCAGACTGTGTTTCATTCTGTAGTTCATGGGCTTGCGTTCCATTAGGACCTACTCCACAGCACCTAACCACAGAAGCACCCACAGAACTTTCAAGGTATAGTCTTTACAGGAGACCACCACATCTTTCGCCCATGGAGCAGCTGGTGGGTTTGGACTGTGTGGATCTTTACATTGGCCTCCAAGCACTTAAACACTGAGCCACCAAAGTTCTGAATAATTCTAAAATACTAAAAAATATAAAAATAAAATCTACTTGCTCTTAATATTGCTTTCATTATTCACTCATAGTTTCTGTCAAAATTATCAACAAGAAAAAATTATTGGAAATTGCACTGGGATGATGGAATCATCATTTGCTCTTCACTTGGGTCACTAAATCTTTGGAAAGACACTCAAAACACTTTACCTTTATTCTCTCTTCTTTTTCTTCTTCTCATTCCCTGCTCTCCAAGCTGCCTACAAATCAGTCCCTATTTCACTCTCCCTATTACTGGTGCTGCTAACAACTTGAACGCCACTAATTAAATGATTAAGGCTGACAATTATAAAATGGCACCCTACCAACTTGGAACAAAACATACAAGTATGTTTTAGACATAACATCTCTGTGTGTGTGTGTGTGTGTGCGCGCGTGTGTGTGTGTGTGTATTAATAAAATATCTATAAATAGAATCAGATCAGAAAGGAACAAAGAACATGAATTGTGTCTCAAAAGGAAATTTATGTTGGAACATAAGACAAGAGAAAAACGAATTATTTCATACTATTTATGCTTTGTACACTTTGAAGCAAGTGAATTCAGTGCCTTCTCAAAACATTCTAAAGCTAAACGTCTCAGCATTTGTGCAAAGGAGTATAAAGTTATTACTTCCAAGGGCACAGAATGAAGATCCTGATGATAGTTAACACCATCAGCTGCTATGTAATAGACTGAAGGTTTTAATCTGTTCTTAGGCACCTAAGAAGACATATCTGGTAATCTACTTTAAAAATATCCACTGAAAACTGTACGGCATACAACTCTTCTGCAAATCAATGAATCATGGGTCATCAGGAATCAGAATCAATGCCAAGACAATGGGTAGGACACAGTATGTGCCTTCAGAGCCAACAGCTTACCAAGTGCCCACAGAAATGACACCATTAACTGTCCTAGGGAAGAAGCCGCTTCATCCGTGTGGACTTGTTTTCCATTGCTTTGAAAATAGTTCTACTTGCCATCCTATTGAAAGGTGCTTGTAATACACTCCAAGAAAATTAGAACTGAGGCACCAATGGAGATCTGTACACCAATGTTCATAGCAGCATTATTCACCATCACAAGAACATGGAAATAGTCCATATATCCAACCACAAATGAATGGATTAAGAAATCTTGGTACATTCACAAGCTAGAATACTATGCAACACACAGGAGCAATGATTTTGAAAATCACTGTCTAACTTGGGAGGGACTGGAGAGCATTATTCTGGGTGAACTAGCTCAACCCCATAAGGACAAATACTGAATAAGAACGTTATTGTAGAAATAGAAAAATAATTAGTAAAATGTGTATGAGAATCCAAGGGGGGGGGTAGGAGCAGAGGGGTGAGAACGGGTAATGGGGTCATCATAGGGTGGCACAATTTAATGGGCAGAGGAAGGGGGAGGGGTAAGATCTCGTGTGAAAAACAACATATATAAACTTTATGAACTTTGGAAGTAAACCAGTATAAAATAAAAAATTTATTTAAAAAAAATAAAGAAAGGTGCAGGGAGCTCTAGTGGCCTAGTGGCAAGAAGCTACACTGCAATCCCAGAGGTACACAGTTCGAATCCACGAGATGCTCTGCTGGAGAAGAAGGGGCAATTTCCTCCTATACCAGTCAGATCCGATTTGATGATACACAAACAAAAAATAATTAAAATATTTAAAATAAATTATAAAAAACAGAAAGAAAGGTGCTATGAAAGGCTTGGAGTACCATGATTTAATCAGTGTAACTGAAGAGATACACGAGGATCTCTTTTAAGGCTATTATGGGTGAAATACCAAAGTATATGTCAATGACTGGTCTAAATTGCTCACATGAGCATACATACACATAAACACGTGGTAGAGAGTCCATCTGAAATGATATCTTCATTTCACTGAATATGTACGAGAGGTAAGAATCACTCACCCATCGCCATCCACCTGGAACCAACTCATAGCTGGCCCTCCTTTGGTTTCTGAGATTGTAAGTGGTGTGGAGATTGTCCGTCTTTTTCCTGCAGAGGAATTGGATTTGAATGTCCAGAGAAGTGCAGACTTTGGGTTAGTGAAACTGTCTACAGACCATGCCAAGAAACTCAAATTTTGACCGTGACCTTTCAGAAATGTATACTCACCTGGTTCTTGGTTATGTAAATAATTCTCTATGGTCTTCTTGTGGCAGAAAGATGAGGTTCAAGGTAGAGATTGCTATGCTGCTCTGCAGAGAACTCCAGGGCCCTGATTTAGCCTCACTGGGATTTGTCTTTATTTCGTTACAGGTAGTAAAATCAAAGTTATCCAAAGAAGATCACTTTCTTAAAATGAAACCATCAAGGAACCACGTTGTGGGGAAGTATTTCAGCAATCAAAACAAACTTCAACAGCGACGAGACTCTCTAACAGGTTCTCAATCTCCATACCACGTCAGAGGTCCAATTAACCAGGTCTATTCTGAGATTCTTCTCAGCAGGATGTGTGCGAGTAAAAGGACTCCATAGACGTCCCATGGGAGAGCCAAACCGGAAGCCAAAGAAGAGATGCTGCAGATGCATGTGGGACAAGAAGCCACGTCCTGTCCATCACACGTAGTTCAGATCAGCCACACACACGCGCACACGCATCTGAAAACCTATTCACTTTTCTCTGTCCACAGCTTTAGAAAGTCCAAGTGTGCACCCACTTGAAAATCAGCTGGTTTCAGAGTAAAAGACAGAGCTCAGAGCTAGAGAACTGGTACCTGAAATAAATCACCACTGCGGGCCAGGTATTACATTGTGATAGTAATGTGAGGTCTAGATACTTGAATTATGTGGAGGTAAGAGTGCTCTCGCTAGTGTGTTCTCTCTTCTCCAGGTACATGGAACAGATAAAAAGCAGTGGCATTCCATTCACAAGCAAAGACTGCACTTGTGCCCTTGTTCAAGGGAAAAACAAAGTGTGCCAACGACATTAGCTTCATGAATCTAATGCGCAGCAAAAAATTGATGCCTAGGCTTTTTAAATGAGATCATTTAAAGGGAAAAGAGCAAGGCCATGTCACAGGGGATTCTGAGAGATTCTAGGAGAGAAATCAGGAGGGAAATATTTTACAATTAAAATATCAACATATTTCCCTTTGAAATCCCTGTGTTTTCATGCACATTCCCTCCTGTCAAGCCTGTGAACTTGAATGGGTAACTTTAGTCTCAATTTATTAAGTGCACGATTTTAAAGTGAAAAGCAAAATAAAAGAAGCAAAATCCTGTATTACTTATGCTTCACTGATGACATTACTTGAGAAAGCTTTAGTTGCCTGCACAGCCTGATGTAACTTATATTACAATTATTTTATGTATATACTTTGCAAACAGCACAGGCCTATGCAAAGCATTTTTTTCTTCCAAGCATCATAAATAGTGTCATTAGTAATTGTATTTTTTATTTTCCTGAGCAGTTTAAATTATTATATCTAATCCAAATTATTTCTTATTGAAACTGTGGCATGTATATAAATACATATCTAATTCTAGTATTGAGAACTTTCTCTTCTGCATTTTAAGTTCAAAAGGAAAAATGTCCTTCCTGTGTACAAACACATCATGGAAAGATAACATCCCACAGTTATAATTAATTTTTAAGAAGATAATTTTTCTTTGGGGAGGAGAGAGTTGAAAGTATTAACTCAATACGTGACTTAAATTCCCAAATGTTGCAAATACCTCAGTTCCCTTCTTGTGGTTGTTGTGAGGTGCTGTCATTTTGGTTTGGAGTCATGGTGGCGTTGTGTATCATCATCGGCTCAGAACCCACCACTCATAGCTGACCTTCTAGTGAGTTTTAAATCACATAGGAAATTACTCATCGTTTCCTTATTGAGCAGCTGGTGGATTCAAACTACATGCCTTTGAGTCGGCAGAACAACTCCTTACCATTAAACCAGCAGCGCTCCCTGGTTTGAAGTCAGTAACCCTAACTAAACAGAATCAACCTATCCCTAAATGTTGTGTTGATTAATGTAACCACTGTGTCAGTCTAGTTTGCTGGGGGATTTCTATTTTGCTGGACCTCTGCTTTATTTAACATGCCGCTTTTTTCCAAGAGCCGGGCGCTCTTGATGATATGTCCAAAGTGAGTGAGAAATCTCACCTCTTCCCTGGTCATTCTGATATACTCAACATTCTTCCCCAAAAACTGTCATTCAAAAGCATCAATTCATCTTTGATCTCTTTTATTCATTGCTTAACTTTCATGTGCACCTGAGTTGAAAATATCCTGGCTTAACTCAGGTGCACCTTCATCTTTGGTTTTTGTAGGATTTTTTTACACTGAAAGAGATTCTGTATAACAGATTCTCTCCATGCACGATGTCACCCTGTGTTCATGGGTACTGACTGTGGATCCAAGTAAAAGGAAATGATTATATATATGTAATCTTTTCTCTGTTTATCATGATGTTGTTTATTGGTCCAATTGTGAGGGGGTTTGTTTCCTTTATGTCTAGATGTAATTCATCCTGGAGGCTATAGTTTTGTTATGTACATATTGAAGGTTGCTAATGAGTCTTCTAATCCTGATGCCACCATGGGCAACCCTGCTGGTTTTTAAAACACCCGTGTCTAAGCTTCCTGCAACACAGCAACATGCATTCATGCCACCACAGCACCACAGACTGTGAAAGGAGTGGTGGTCAAGTCCATGATCATTCAGAAAAGAATACGCTTAGGACTGATCACTTTCTTAGTTTGAGTATAAACTGCCTCTGCCTTCAAATACTCTATTTTTATATATATTTTTGTATGAAGACAAATGTGAATTTATATTTAACTGTCTTAAATTATATTTAAACACAAATATCACTTGATGTAAACAATACACATTTGTATCTTACAGATGACAGCTTTTCGAAGAGAGAAAAACAATGGTACAGAACTAGCTAAAGATGCAAGATTTTCCTAGTATCTGCAGCTGTACATAAACATCATTTTAGAGTTTCAGAAAATGATGTAAAATGATGAGATTTTGCCAACTTATGCAGCTTCTCTATGGTATTTTAACATATTCTGTATTCTGTAGCAGTATTGCCTTGGATAAATGTTCTGTCATTTCCTACATCAATTTAACTGTAAAATCTCCTGACTGAGGTTAGTCTGGTATTTACCTCAATAAAGTAGGTTATTTTAGAAATAATTGCATTATTATTAATAAATGTCTTATTAGTGTCTGTGTCCAGAAAGCATCTTTCACTTGGAAGAACATAACCATACAAACAAGATCGCTTGCGGGTCGATCCTAGCATGTTGATGATGCTGTTGTGTATCATAGAGTCAGAACTGACTCAGAGCTTACCCTCCAGTGGGTTTTCAGAGGCAATAATCACAGGGGAGGAGATGGCCCATCCTTCTCCCACAGAGCAGCTGGTGGATTCAAACTGTGTGCCTTCAGGATTGCAGGGCAGATTCTTACCACTAGGCCACCAGAGATTCCTAGATTCAAGTATTAGGGTGTTTAAATAGGATTTTCTTTATTGTTTCATTCATTTGTAGTACTCTCCAAGTTTATGATCAGGTTAACTCCCTTTTGTACAATGACCAAAGCTGTTGAATATGGTAGATACAATGACATGTGTGTGTGTGTGTGTGTGTGTGTGTGTGTGTGTGTGTGTGTGTTAAGAAGGGGAGAACATTTAAAATAATTCCTATCTGAAGACTCAGATCCACAATCAATATACTTGGTACCAGCAGTCAGGAGATCAGACATACTGCAGTAGGAAAGTCTGTAGTCAGAGACATCTCCAAATTATTGAGGAACAATGATGCTTGAAGAGTAAGGTACACCTGATTCAAGCCATGGTTGTTTTACTTATTTGCTATGCATCTGAGAGCTGGAAAATGAATAAAGATAACAGAAGAAGACTCGATGCCTTTGAGTTGTGATGTTGGAGAACAGTACTGAATATCCCATGGACTTCCAAGAGAACAAACAGATCTGTCTTGGAGAAGGTACAATCAGAGTGCTCCTTGGAGGCAAAGATGATAAAGCTTGGCTCACATACTTTGGGCATGTTGCTTGGGAAGGCTATTCTTTGGAGAAAGACATCATGCTTGGAAATGTGGAGGGTCAGTGAAAGAGAGAAAGATCCCCAACACGATGGATTGACACAGTGGGCTCGACTGCATCAGAAATTGTGAGGATAGCACAGGGTAGGGCGGGGTTCAGTTCTGTTGTTCAGGGTGTTCTAAAACTCATACTCAAGTTGACAGCACCTAACACCAACAACAACCTGAAGAAGGTACTTTTCCCCTTGTAGGAATAGGGTGTGTGTGTGTGTGTGTGTGTGTGTGTGTGTGTGTGTGTCTATTTGTGAGTCTGTGTTTGTGATTTAAGATGGAGAGCATTTTAACTATTCCTTTTGTGAAGAAAGTACTTTTTTAACTTATAAAATAGGGACATATATGTAATGGGGGGTTAGTGCATAATTTGAGTGGAAAAAATAGAAGTATGTACTTTTACATGATTTTGGGTGCTAAAGGAAGTTTAACATGATGGGTAAGAGTTGGCAGTATTCCGTCCACAAATGAATAGTGAAACTATGGAATGTCCACACAATGGAATACTATGCAGCACTGAAAAACAAGGAACTCATAAAATACTATACAACGTGGGTGGCCCTACAGAACATTATGCTGAGTGAAATATTTTAGTCACAAAAGTATAAATACTGCATAATATCACTGTTATAAAACAAGACTGACATGGAGGTTGGGGAGAAACCAAGAAAAGAGGGGATAAATAATGAATACTGCATTGGAATAGATCAAGAATGAGTTGCTTAAAAGGAACATATAATTAGGCAGTATATGTACGACAAAAGCCAAGAATAAGAGGTACATTGCAAAGAGGACTGGGGTGAGTGTGGAGGAGGGAGATGATTGTGCAACAATGAATGTTTTGGTTTTTTTTTTGTGAACTGGGGGAGGGGAAATGGAGGGAGAGGAGGCAAAATGTACAACAATAAATGAATGAAAATCTAACTTTTCTGTAAACTTTCATTAAAATCACAGTTAAAATAAAACATTGCATCTGAAAAAGAAATTGGTAGTACCCAATCTAAATGGAATTAAACTAAAGGAGATGTAATATTAAAATTTAACAATAACTTTATAAATATTTTCAGGCCTCTCTGTTGGTTGATATTTTGTGTACCTGTGTGTATGGGGTGTGTGTGTGTGTGTGTGTGTTAAAAGTACAATGTACTTTTTTTTTTATCCACAAAGCACTATTTTTCAGCTGTCTGTGTAAACAGGTAAAATCTGGGCATATGCTAAGTGTTCAGTAGCAGAATTTTCATGTGCAACACCACCTGTCTGGCAGCAGCAGCACGCATGTTGCTGTAATATGAAACAGCTTTCAGATTATGAGAGAAAGGCCTATCAATTTACTTTTGAAAACTAGCCAGTGAGAACTCTATAAATCCCAGAGTTCTAATCCACAGCCATAAAGAAGGTATGTCTTATCCACA